TGTGCACAAACCTATACACATACACATAATTAAAAATAAGTCTCAGCTGGGTGGTGGTGGCGCACACTTTTAATCCCAGCACTCGGGAGGCAGAGGCAGGAGGATCTCAGTGAGTTCGAGGCCAGCCTGGTCTACAAGAGCTAGTTCAAACCCTATCTTGAAAAACAAAAAACAACAACAAAAAAAAGCTGAAAATATTTTATAGATGTACCCTTTTGATGATATTTGTTTTGCAAGTATTTTCCCCAGTGTGTGTCTTGCTTTTTCATGCTTTGGGGGGTTTTGGTTGTGGATTTTTCATATGTATATATAATAATATAATTATTTTATATTTATATATAATCTAAATTTATTATATATAAGAATATATATTGAGGAAAATCTAATATTAATGCATATATAGAATAAATCAAATATACATGTGTGTATGTATGTTTATATGTCTGAGTGTGTGCAGGGAGGCCAGAAGAGAGTATTGGACCCCTGGAGTGGAGCTATAGGCTGTTGTAAGCCGCCTGAGGTGGGTGCTGGGAGTAGAATCCAGGTCCTCTGCAGTAGCAGAACTGTTCTTTAACTTCTGAGTCACCTCTCCAGCCATGTTTGTCTGTTTTTAAGACAGGCTCTTATTATTAGTTCAGGCTGGGTTAAACTTGCCTCAGCCTCCTTGAATGCTGGGATTATACGCATGAGCCACCATGCCTAACTCTATTTAAAAACAACTGCTTAATTATATATTAATCTTATTTTTCAGACCAGGCCTCACTGTGTAACTTAGGTTGACCTTAAACTCAATATGTAGCCTAGGTTGGCTTCAAAATCATGACTACACTAAGTACAACTTTATTGTTAGAACTAGCTTTCTTTTCTTCTTTTCAGTGGTGCTGGGGACTGAACCTGGGGCATTGCTCTTACCAGGTAACCAGTCTGTGACCGAGCAATGCCCCCAGTTCCTCAGTGACTTCTAACAATATTGTTGCGGTGAACATTCTATGTTTTGTTTTCATCATTTTAAGCTTACTGAGACCCATTTTATGTTGGAGCATATATTTATCCTATGGAATACTGAAGTGTTTATCCAATTATTCTTTATCAATAAAAACCCAGGAGTCAGATATCAGGGTAAGAACCTGAATGATCAGAGAAGTGATGGAGAAGCAACCAGTGACCCCTTTTTCTTTCTTTCCTCCATCCAAAAGGGCCGAAAATCTTTCTAAAACCCTCCCTACTATTCCCTTTGTCTCTCTGTATGTCCTTAGTACTTCAGAACTTCTATGACTAATCTTGGTCAGCTAGTAACTAGCTCTGCCCTCTGATCCAAAATAAATTTACTGGGCTGGAGAGATGGCTCAGTGGTTAAGAGCATTGCCTGCTCTTCCAAAGGTCCTGAGTTCAACTCCTGGCAACCACATGGTGGCTCACAACCATCTGTAATGAGGTCTGGTGCCCCCTTCTGGCCTGCAGGCATACACACAGACAGAATATTGTACACATAATAAATAAATATAAAAAATAAATAAATTTACTATCAATCTCAGGAGTGTCAGAGTGTGATCAAAATATCCCACAACACTTCACCCTTTTTGTCTAAATAAAAATGGAAGGTTTTAACTCCAACATAGAACTATATACAATAAGAACAATTATCAGGTAAGGATTATATTCACAATGTTCAGTTAATTTGCATTTGATAAATTCAGAGAAAACATTCCATTATCTATTCTATCTTAGGGTCCAAAGTTTTGTACTTAATTCACTTTCTTCTTTTCTTTTTTTTACATATTTATTTATTTTTAAAGATGTATTTATCTCTACAAGTACTCTATCTGCATGTAAGCCTGCATGCCAGATCAGGATCCTGCTATAAATGGTTGTGAGCCACCATGTGGTTGCTGGGAATTGAGCGCAGAACTTCTGGAAGAGCAACCGGTGCTCTTAGCTGCTGAGCCATCTCTCCAGCCCCCCCCCCCCCCCAATTCTATACTAACTTGTATTACCAACCCAAAATTATCTTTTTATGATGTGGGAGTCTTTTGTTTTGTGTTGATTTCATTGGTTAAATAAAGAAACTGCCTTGGCCCTTTAATAGGACAAAAAATTAGGTAGGCGGAGTAGACAGAACAGCATGCTGGGAGAAAGAAGCTGAGTCAGTCAGTCGCCACGCCTCTCCTCTCTAAGATGGACGCAGGTTAAGATTCTTCCTGGTAAGCCACCAAGTCGTGGTGCTACACAGATTATTAAAAATGGGTTAGTCAAGATGTAAAAATAAGCCAATAAGAGGCTATAGATAATGGGCCAGGCAGTATTTAAGAGAATACAGTTTGCGTGTTGTTATTTTGGGTGTAAAGCTAGCCATGCGGGCGGCCGGGCGCCAGGAACGCAGTCCGTTGCTCCTTACTACAGAGTGGCGCTCCAACGTGTTACTGGTTTTGCATGGAACTCACTCTGTAGATTAGGCTGACCTCAAACTCACAGGGATCCACCTGCCTCTGCCTCCTGAGTGCTGGGATTAAAGGCGTGTGCACCTGGCCTGGAACATTTAATTTTAAAAGGGGGGCAGCCTTAGTGGTGATCCCAGCACCTGCAAAACTGGCAGTCATGGTCGGCTGCTGTGTGATCTCGTGCCCTGCATTGGATGCTTATTGAATTATTCTTTATCAATAAGAACTTGGGAGTCAGATAATGGAGGAGGAACCTGAACGATCAGAGAAGTGACAGAGAAGTGACCAGTGACCATCTCTCTTTCCGTGATCCAAAAGGGCTGGGAACCTTTCTAAGCCCTTCCTACTACTTTTTATGTTTCTCTCTATATTCTCAGTCTTCCAAAACTTCTATTTTGGTCAGCTGGTAGCTAACTCTGCCCTCTGATTCAAAGTAAACTTTATCGCAGTCTCGGGAGGGTGAGAGTGCGAGAAAAATATCTCACAACAGGATATCCCGAACATATTTGACAGTATTATACATGCCATTGTTGCTAGGTGATACGTTCTCATTGCTAGGCCAAACTGATTGATAGTGTGTTGCTCCATGTACCTACCACCTTCCTGTGTACATGTTGTATCAACAGTTAAAGTGGGAGAATGCAGCTAACATGGGAGGGTGCTTCCTAGGATACACAAGGCCTGGGGTTCAGTGCTGCAGAACACAGAGGTGGTGCCTCAGGCCTGTAAACTCAGAATCAGGAGGTGGGGGCACTTCAAGGAGGGCCTTGAGGTTATGCTTGACTACACAGCGAGTTTGAGGATATCCTGGGCTGTGTGAGAGCCTGTCTCAACAAAATGCTAATTGAAAAAGAAATATCCAAATAGCGATTATAACTGTTGAACGGAATGATTCATATGTACACCCATAGGCTTAATTTTCTTTGTTTTGGGGGACTCTATGGATGCATACAACCATATTTGTTTTTGTTTTGTTTTGTTTTCTTGAGATAGGGTTTCTCTCTCTGTAGCCCTGGATGTCCTGGAACTCACTCTGAGGACCAGGTTGGTCTCAAACTCTGTCTGCTTTGCCTCCTGAGTGCTGGGAGTAAAGGCACGCACTACCACCACCCAGTTTTATCTTCCGGATTTTGTCCCCCAGGGATGTTTAGGAAAACTGAAAACATTTTTGGTTTTTGCAACAGTCATAATAAACAGTTAAGTAATATTATACCATGTGACCCAATGGTATATATGCATACAAAAATAATGAGCTTCCAATACAGTGATGTTGGATTTACTTCCAAAGGTGAATTTTCTTTATCTTGTATAATCAGACAACATTTTAGCTACAATTACAAATACTGTGCTAAATTACATACAGTTTTCCATAAAATCTAGCTCTGTGTGTTTCACATCTAAGAATGTTAGTAAACTTATTCACAGCCTTTGCAAACCGAAAACAAGCAATTAAACAAACAAGAAAGAATTGCCTGTCTCTGCCAGCACTCTTCTGAGCTATCTCCTTAGCCCTGCTTGTTTATTTAAAAAATTTTTTTGTTTGTTTTGCTTTGTTTTGGTTTTTCGAGACAGGATTTCTCTGTATAACAGTCCCAGTTGTCCTGGAACTCACTCTATAGACCAGGCTGGTCTCGAACTCACAGAGGTTTGTCTGCCTCTGCCTCCCAAGTCCTAAGATTAGAGATATGTGTCACCACCACTGACTTTTGTTTCTAAATCTTAAAAAAAAAAAGGAAAGAAAGAAAAACAGAAACAGAAAAGAATATCACATAGCTACAATTTCCAGTATATTCTGTAGATTGAAATTTTTCTTTAAGGAAGGAAAGTTTATTTTGTTATAAAGTTTGAGGGCACAGTCAGTCATGGCAGGGCTGGTGGGTGAGGACAGGGAGGGAAGGTAATGGCACAGGAGTGTGAAGCAGCTGTAGGAAGGAAAACAGAGAGATTCTTTTGCATCCATTTCCCAAATGTTGGAATTCCCAGTGTGCACCACCAAACTGGATATCCTAACCTCACAGTTTCATGATTCTGTACTTCTCTCCAGTCTTCACTAGAACTTTACCCAAGAGCCAGTTGGAGAGATGGTTCTCTCTGGTTTCCTTCCTACAGCTCTCTTAATGTCAAGAGCACTTGACACTGGTTCAGGGAAAAAAAAAATAGGCTTGCGCCTCAGCTTCCCATGGCCGCCAGCTGTGTGCTCTGAGTAAATACTTCAGTTTTATGAGGCCATCTATAAAATCTGAATAATATCTCCCAGGGTAATTGGAAAGATTAAGTTAGATAGTATATGAAAAGCTTTTAGTGCTATGTTTGGTGTATCATGTCAAACACTGACATACTACGTTTATTGTGTGTCATCCAGATATGTCTCCCAGTTTAGAGACGAGGACTTCAAAGTCTGGTAATCTCTTCAGCCTACTCAAATCACACCACTAGAGAATGGCAGAGCACCAGGGTTTAAATCTAGTTTGGGCCCAGAGCCCTGTCTTTGACTGTCATGCTTCTTTCTTTCTTTCTTTCTCTTCTTTTCTCTCGTGAATGTTTATTCTTCTTTTTTAATTAGATGGAATGAAATTCGGACTCTGGAAAATAAGTGCTATTGATGAGATGAGTATGAGGGATAAAGGGCATTAAAAATGGAGAGACAAAGGACATTTCAAACAGAAAAAAATGAGAATGTAGGTGAGGGTAAGCTTTGCTGCATGAGGTCTGTGTGAATACTTTGAACGATGAGCTAACTAATTGGGTCTGCGTCAACGTATGTAAAGTGTCAAGCCTCCAGGGAAATGGCATGGTCAGAATGGATCCTTTGGCATGCTCCAGTCATCCGACGGAGGAGTGAATGAGGAGCAATTAGAATAAAGAGATAAAATGCAGTGTTCCAATGTGAGCATCGGAATGGACTAATGAGCTTCGATGACGAGCGGGATAGACAAAAGCATGAGTCAGATCCAATTGTGGGCAGCATTCAGAGGCCTCCCAGAGAAAGGAGACGTCACAAATGATTTCTGATACTTGGTGACAAGGAGGGACACGGGTGATGTTGCTAAGAAAGGATTCTGACAAAGGAGTAGGCTGATGGCAGTGGATGTAAGAATTCTGGTTTGTATGGGCAACTGAGCGTTTTTGGAAGGAGTGACCTGGGCCTCCTAAGGGTGATTCTGTAGGTTGGTCTTGGGGAAAGAAAGAATGAAGGGCTGAAAGGAGGAAGGCTAGAATTCTTAGACCAGAGGTGGCCTTTCCTCTTGAGCTATTAATGGTATGGGAGACTGAGCAGGTCCGTGAGACTCTGGGATCACCATATTCCCTCCAAACTCCCATCATCCTCTCTTATCGATCCTTGTCCTGAAGTCCAAGCTCAGCTGGAAACAGCCTGCTTTTGCCAGAGTGACAGCCAGGAGCAAATGGAAGACTAAAGGACGCTGCCTGGACCTCCGTATGGCTCCAGGAGCTGGAGAGGCTCAATAATAAGAATTGACACAGAATCCACCACTTGCTGGGATAGGGACTTAGAGCAGGTCATATTTAGTTAAGGAAATGAACATGACATTTCTTACCCAGTACGTCTGTAACTACAATTGAAATTTAGTTAAAAAGGTTGGCTGGTCATGGTGGTACCCACCTTTAGTCTCAACACTTGGGAAGCAGAGACGGTTGGATTTCCACGAGTACAAGGCCAGCCTGGTCTACTTAGGGAGGCCTTTTCTTATGAAAAAGAAAGAAAGAAAGAAAGAAAGAAAGAAAGAAAGAAAGAGTTGATTTATGTATCTTTCTAAACATCTTATTGAACTCCAAGACAAACAACAAACAAACAAAACACCTCACCATCTTAGTTACCAAGGTGAGCCCAATGCCTGTCGCTGAGCTTGGCTGACTCCTGCCGATTTGTTCACCGTCACTCATGAGGCCAGGGGCAATTTCCTTCCATATGCTGCACATTCATTTGCTCAGCAAATGTTTACTGAGCACTTACAGTATGTGAGGTTCTGGGCCAAGTGCAAGAAACAGAGATTTGAACAAGACTGGCAAGGTTTCTGCTCTCAAGGGACATATATCATAAGTGTTAGAGAGTTAAAAAATACACAAATTAACCAGCGCATTCGGGCGGTGGGGCACATTGTGCCCCACCTATGAGAGCAGTAGATGAAGGATGGGTAGGGAGACACTTGGGGCATGACTTTGGTGCTACAGCTTGGTAAGACCCCCAGAATGGTGGGAGGGAGCGGGTCACAAGATGAACAGGGGAGGTTGAAGGCTGGGAAAATGAAAAGACAGTGGTCAGGCAAAGGAGCCACATTTACGTACAAGGGATGAGCTTTCACTGATGGGGGCACGGGGTTCTATGTTTTCTCTCCAAACAGCTCCTCTGGCTATTCCATAACAACGTAGGGGACAAGAAGAAGAGATAGCTGAGATGGGGTAGGTGTGGCTTGGGGGGGGGTCAGGACCAGGTGGCAGTGGAGATAGGAAGATGGCCGACTGGAGGGAGAGCCAACTGATGAGAAGTGAATTCTAGGAACAGAAAGGAACTTGGGAGCTGTGGGTGTAGCTCACTTGGTAGTGTGTTTGCCTAGCGTGGATCCCTAGCACCACAGAAACTGGTTATGGTGCATATCTGTAATCCCAGCACCCAGAAGCAGGAGGCAGGAGGATCAGAAATTCAAGACTGGGCTTAGGACAATGGCTTAGCAAGTAAAGGCACTTGCTGTCATGTATGACAGCCTGAGTTTGATCCCTGGAACCCACATGGTGGAAGGAGAGAACGGACTCCTTTGACAAGTGTGCTGCACACTCAATAAATGTCATCTTCAGTGACAGAAGGAATTCTACAACAACCTTCCTGAAACAAAAGCCAAACAAGCTGAAAGGAATCTGGAATGGATTCCGTGCATGAGGACCAACTATCCCCATGGCCTGAGATTGAGAAGTTTACTGGGGCAGATTTTTAAGGCTAAACCCAGCACTATTGCAGGTAAACTGGGACTGTTGGTCACTCTGCTGCCAGGTTGTGGAGCCCAGCAATGAGGAGAGCCTTACATAGACATGTCATGAACCTTGACAAAAATACCTCTTGCCAGGATAGGGGGTATGGGAATTTAGAAATATAAGTAAAGAATATGAAGACGCATGAGAAATAATAAGACAGAAGCCATAGAACAGTACTGGGAGGGCATTTCAGTAAATATTGAAATTGCCCATGTTTACTTTCCATAGTTTTTATGCCCAATGTAAACGGGTGGAGGGGGAGAAGGTAACAGAAGACTTTATTAACACGATACAAAGGACAACTCAAACAGTCAATCACTTTAACACTCTGAGACATCAAATCATTAGCATTCTGTTGTTTAGGCAGTGAAGCTGCTCTGGATCACAGATCCTGAAGGCAGCCACTCCCCAGGTGACCTCATAGTTACAAAAGAAGGAGCACAAGTACGTTTGTGTATCTTGACCACCTGTCAGGATGGCACGAACCTTCTGGTATGAGCTATTTTAATGTTAAAAGAATCAAGCAATCACATTCTGAATTGGGTCGTGCAGTACGCTAGTCAAGCATTTGAGCAAGCTCCAACTCTCTAACTGGCAGATGAGATGGAAATGGGCCCACATTTTTCGGCCTCCACACAGACACAGGGAAGACTGAGGGATAACAGCTTGGTGGTGGAATCAAGTGCTCTATTTTGGTCGTATAACGTTTGAGATGCTCTCTAGTGTCCCATGGAGATGGACTATGGGCATGCAAAGCCCAAAGGAGAGATTGGATCAGATAGACACATGAAGTCAGAAGCGTCTTTATGGTATGTACAATGTCTAGGAAGATCATGCCAGTAGAGTACAGAGAGGGGCCTGAGATGGATATCACAACCTTAGGACATTAAGCAGAATTAGCTACCCAAAGGATCCCAAAGGAATAGTTGATCTGGGTATGGCAGTACATTACATATGGGAATCCCAGAACTGAGGCTGAGGCAGGAGGATCCTGAGTTTGAGGCCAGTTTGGGGGACTCCTGAGGAGCTTAGTTGAGACTAGTGGGGGACAGGCAGTCTCAAAGGCTGTAGCAATGACAAGCAGGAGGGCGGCAGGCAAGCAGAGACCACCCCTGGGTTACATTTGGAAGGAGGATAAGCCGTAGGAGATAAATGGAGATGGTCTCTCCAGGCTTCAGAAGCCACTACATACAGGCAGTCAAGGTACAGCAGGCGGCAGGATGACTAGCGAGGAAAAGGAGGCCAGGGAGCAGTTAACCACCTACATCAGAGATGTTCCCTCAGATGAGAACAGAAGAGCAACATGGAGTAACCTAGATTATGAGTAACTGGGGGATAAAGAACAAAGCACCCCAAGTGCCGGCATCACTCCTCGAAGAAAGCAGAAGGGAAAAGACGAAGGCTGAATGAGCTGTTGGGTGGGGTGGGCTTAGGGTTCGCTACCCTGCCTTTTTAAAATGGTAGAAATCTTGAGTTTAGCTATAGACTTGAAGAAAAGGAGCAAGTGAAGGGAGGAGGGAGTGGGGACATAGAGGAGAGGAGATTAATGACGGAGTAGGGTTTCCCAAGGAGCTGGCCAGAGAATGGCTCCTGTCAGATGGGAACACATACAACATTAGCTGTGGTTGGGAGGGACGAGACAGGTGGGCAGAGATGGGTAAGACTGACTCAGGGCTGGGGGTGGGGCTGGAGCTAGCAGTGCTGGCTAGACAGCTCCTTCCTGATCGCCTTCATTTTTTTTTTTCCGGGGAGAAATTCAGCCAGTTGCTGAGAGTGATTGGAGACGCAGGAGGAAGCATGTGGAAAGCTCCAGGGTAAATTTATATGAGCATCAATTTGTTTAATTCCTCTGGTGGCTTGGCGTGATATTTTTCTGGGCAAAGGAGCAGAAAAGTAGGCAGATGAATGCAGAGCAGAGCACTGAGTGTGGATACAGCTGAGGGCCTGGATATTGGTCTTTGAAGCAATGCAATGGCCAGCTGGGCACTGGGGCCCTTGTTGCTTAATGATGCAGGGCATAAAATAGGCTTTGGTTGGCAGATTAGGAGCAAATTCAAGAAACTAAAGGCTCCACAGGAAGACAAGATGCACGAAGAAAGGAAGGAGTGAGGGGAGTGTCCAGGTTGTTTTGGAGTTAGACAGGAGCTGAGGGGTAGGGAATTCCCAGGTACTAGGCCTTAGGGGCAGGTAACTGGCTGGAGAGGAGATGTGTGTCAAAGGGCGGAGATCGGTTGAGTGATGTCTTCAGATCGATTCTGAAATCGGTGACAGAGGAGACAGGAGGAGAGAGGAGGAGAGGAAGGAGCTGAACCTTCAGTCAGTGGAGTGACAAGGGGGGGGGGCTAGAGACAGAGACAAGGAGGGAAGACGATGGCAGCCTAAAATCAGAAATTGTTTTTTTACATAGCCAGGTGCCCTCTGAGCAGACTGAATTAAACTAAACTGAACCAAAGTGCTATGTTAGTTCCAGCAAAATACCACGATCGACACCAGATGCTATTTTCTAGAAAAAAAAAAAACCCAGAAACTGGCAGGGAAAGACCCAAACTGGAGTCAGGAAGAGACTCAGAGGACCAGCAGGGTGACTGTGGGCTTTCATCCTTGTCCCTACCACATCAGTCCTTCCCTTCCTTTCCCTTCCCTTCCCTTCCCTTCCCTTCCCTTCCCTTCCCTTCCGGGGCCACCGGTGACAGCTCTCTGCTCCAGGACAGAGTTCTGGCAGGGGAAATCAGCCATGTCTCTTGGGCTGGCATTGTTCCCAGGAGGAGCCAGCGCTGAGGCTTCAGAAAGGGAGCTGAAGGAAGCACATTCTGGGCTCGCTGCTCTCCGGTGAGCAAGGGCTCATTAGCCAAAACCATCATCTTCCCAGGCTCATTCTCAGACTCACTTAACAACAACCTGAGCGGGCTCTCCACCCTCTCCCCAGCACACCGGTACAAGTTGCTTCCTGCTCAGGCAGAACCCACCCTCACCTCAGCACTCCTAGAATGTAGATGCCATGCACACCATTTTTCTCCTGGCTTAAAGACAAAACAAACAACAACAAAACAATGCGCGCTCTATTTATTTCCTTACCTGTTTATCAAGTGGACAAGAATGTGTTTACTTGCTTGCTGCAAGGCATGCTTGAATGTGGAGCTCAGAGGACAAACTGACGGAAGTCAATTCTCTCCTTCCACTATGTGGGTGACAGCAAGTGCATTTACCTGCTGAGACATTTTGTTTGCCTGACCCCCCTCCCCCTTTTATTTTTTTAGATAAGATCTCTCTATGTAGTCCTGAAACTCACTATACAGGTCAGGTTAGCTGCAAACTCACAGAGATCCTCCTGCCTATGCCTCCAAGTGCTTGAGATGGGGTCTCCCTACGTACGCCAGGCTAGCCTTCAACTCCCAGTAATCCTCCTGTCTCAGCTTCCCCAGGGCTAGTATTACATGCATCCACCATACCCAGATTCATACTACACTGGTGCTTATTTTTCCTTCCTGTCTCTCCATCTGTCTGTCTGTCTCTATTGTTCTCTATGTGCTGCTTTCCTGTGCTCCTTCTTCACTGACATACTCAGTCTCCCTTACAGGTTCCTTCTCCATAACTCTAGATGTTGGAGAGCCTGGTTTAACCCTGCTGTCTACCTTCTCTGTATCCATGGTCATGCCCTTTGTGATTGCAGACAGTCCTGCGGTTCCCAGACCTTCCCCTCAGGGCAATCCCAGGGTGCATCTCTGCTCCCAAGAGGCTCGAGTCTCCCGTATTCATGGGCTCTCTACTTGGATACCTTGAAGACGTCACTGTATGTGCTCTATACTGAGGTTCTCTTCCTCCTCTCCCAGACATACCTGCTGTCCTTCCAACCTACCCCCCCTCTCAGTCAGGCCGAGAACCTCGAAGCTGTCCTGACTCTCCCGCATACACCTAATTATGGTCTATCAGTTAATCCTGTTACGTCTACCTTCAAAAGATACCCAAGACCGGACTGTATCTTACTACCTCTACCCACATCCGAACCAAGCCGTTCTCATATCATGCCTGTGCTGTTCCATCAGCTTCCTTACTGGAATCAGGGTCTGGCCAGAAGGAGCCCTAAGGACACTGTCATGGCTCTCACGTCACCCCACACTCCTTCCTTCCATTTGGTGACAAACTGCAGAGCAATGGCCTAGCATGAGGGTCCCCCAGTGCCCCTCCATTATTCTTATCTACGACCTTTCCTTGCGTTTACCTTCTGCCAGCCACGCAGGCCTCCTTGCTGCTCATCAGACATGGCCAGGATGCTCTCCGTGCTTACTGTCTCCTCTGCCTAGAGCCTGCCTCCTCAGGACTTGATCTCCTACCATCCAAAAGGAGCAAGAGAGACTTCTCCTCTTCCCTATAAGAGATCACATTAGCACACAGAAGCCACACCCCAAGACCGGTACCCAAAACTACTGGCAGAATGAATTCCCACAACATTATACATATACATACACACACACACACACACACACACACACACACACACACACATATATATAACAGATTACTATTTGTGTGCACAGATGTTATTACAGTCCTGAGATCTGAACTTAGGTCCTCATGATTGAGCAGCAAGCACTCTTAACCTCTAAGCTAGCCTCACAAATTCTCTTTCAAACCCTTAGGAAGCAAAATTTTATTTAAGCAACCAGTCTGCCTAGGTCTCTGCACACATCTGCAACCCCATCTCTAAGGCCAGCAGACATTCCCTTCCTTTCCTTGGCTTCCTACTTCCTGTAAGACTATGAAAAGAGTGTGCGCGGGGACTGGCAGCCATCTGGAAACTCCAGGGATAGAGTGTTTTCTGGTCAGCTGGGAAATGGGGCCAGAAAGACCAGGCTTTCTTCACTGACAGCGCCATTTCTCCTGTGTTGGTTCACTTTCTGGCTGGCTGTCCCCTGACTGTTCCAGAAGCACAAGGATGGCCCCTGCTGAGTTCTTCAGGGAGATTGTGGGATCCTTACATACAGCATCTCATTATTCTGGTCTTACTCCCACATTCTTTCCTGCTCTAGTTTTTTTTTTTTTTGGTTTTTTGAGACAGGGTTTCTCTGTGGCTTTGGAGCCTGTCCTGGAACTAGCTCTGTAGACCAGGCTGGTCTCGAACTCACAGAGATCCGCCTGCCTCTGCCTCCCAAGTGCTGGGATTAAAGGCGTGCGCCACCACCGCCCGGCCCCTGCTCTAGTTTTTATGCTGGAGAATGGGAGGCGGATTGGTCAGGTCTGGGCACAGCCCCTCCCTCTGCAGTGGAGTGGGTGACAGCCTTACTAACACACAGAGGGACAGGGTTATGTGTGCGTGCGTGCGTGTGTGTGTGTGTGTGTGTGTGCAAGTGTACCACAGCAACCATGTGGAGGTCAGAGGACAATTTTTGGAGTTGGATTTCTCCTTCTACCATAAGGATATTGGAGCGTGAACTCAGGTTCCCATGCTTAGAAGCAAGTGCCTGGACTACAGAGCCTTGTTTTGAGGCAAGGTCTCACTATATAGCCCTGGCTGGCCTGAAATTTACTATATAGACCAGGCTGGCCTCAAACTCAGAAGTCAGTCTGTCTCTGCCTCCTAAGTGCTGGGATTAATGGCATGTACTGCCATGACCAGACACTCTATTGCCTTTTATTTATTTAGTTTGTTTGTTTATTGGTTTTTCGAGACAGGGCTTCTCTGTGTAGTGCTGGCTGTCCTGGAACTCACTCTGTAAACCAGGCTGGTCTTGAATTAAAAGATCCATCCACCTGCCCTCTGCCTCCGAGTGCTGGGATTAACCATGTGTGATACCACTGCCTGGCTTAGCCACTTCATTATCTTTTAATTTTTATTTATTTATTTATTTATTTATTATTTTGTCTTTTGAGATAAAACGTGCTAGAGAAACACACAGTTAAATCTCTAACTCCCTTAACAAAGCAGATAAGGTTTTCTTCTTAGCTCTATCAACCTTCCCTCTCTCTTCCAGGTAATTGTCTAGCCAAGAAATATTTTGGTTGGGCTTTTTATTCTTTTCCTAACATTTCAATATTAACCATAGTTGATAAACTATTAGAAGGTAGGCTGAGGGTGTGGCTCAGAGGCAGAGCACTTACAGAATACTCACGGACCCAGGTTCCATTCCCCAGCACTGCAAAATAAATAACATTACTGACCAGGCAGTGATAGCACATGCCTTTAATCCCAGCACTTGGGAGGCAGAGACAGGTGGAGCTCTGCGAGTTCGAGGCCAGCCTAGCCTACAGAGTGAGTTTCAGGCCAGACTCCAAAGCTACAAAGAAGCCCTGTCTTGAAAAACAAAAAAACAAAAACAACAACAAATTACTGACAACATACTACATTTAGAAAAAGACTTTCAGACTTGATTTTACATTTCAGACAAGGAAAAATTGAAATATCAGCCACTGGCTTTTTCTTATCTGAGTGTTCCTAGGAACTGCAGGCTAGGTTACAGACTAAACAAGACACTGTCTGGGGACAAGCACGTAAGCGCCTTTGCTGTGCAAATATAAGGAGTCCAAACTCCTAGCACCCACATAAAAGCCTGCTATGGGGCTGGTGGGATGGCTCAGTGGTTAAGAGCACTGACTACTCCTCCAGAGGACCCAGGTTCAATTCCCAGCACCCATGTGGCAGCTCGCAGCTGTCTGTAACTCCAGTTCCAGAGAATCTGACGTCATTATACCAATGTACATGAAATAAGGTTAAATAAAGTTTTTTTTTTTAAAAAAAGCCTGCTATGACTGGGCACCCATCTGTACCTAGCAGGAGGTGGAGATAGGAGGTGGAGACAGGAGGATTACTCGTCCATCGGGCCAGCCCCCAGAGTCAATGAGAGAACCTGTTTGGTCAAAGATCCTGTCCCAAGGGAATAAGGCAGCGGTGACGATAAAACAAGACACCTAAGTTCCTCTTCTGGCCTCTGTACAGGATCGCTTTGTACACACACACACACACACACACACACACACACACACACACGAGGGGGGAATGGGCAAACAGTCTTATGAGGAGGCCAGCATGAGGCCCCTCTCCTCAGGGAAGACAGTGGGGCTCCACATGTTTCAAATCCATCTCATTTTGTCCCCATTCCCACTTCCACCCACGTGCAGCCCAGGCAGCTGCCCCTACTGGTTGCTCAGGTCGGACAGGGAGTGTGCTGGTTGCTGGTATTTTCCTTAAAGCATCTTGGCAGGATTCCTGGCAGTTTAGATCCTTGGATATCGCGGGCTGGGCAGGTGGCTGTGCTTTATCAACACGATGAGTCTTACAGGTGTTTCACAGGCCCAGGAAGAAGTCAGTTCCCTGACTGCTGCCTTCCCCAGGCCAGGGACTAAGGGACACCTACATTCTCTCTGCTTCTTAGACATGGCCCAGTTTACCACCAAATGAAGCTTTTCCTGTTAGATGTACACAGGCTCTAAGGAGGCAAGCAAGCTGGATGTTGCTGTTTCTGCTCCTTGACTCACCTGGAAAACGAACTTGACATAGACCTGGCAGTCAGAGCCAGCCTGTGAACGCTGGCACGGTTCCTTTCTGCTGCTGGAGGCAGAGTGATGTAATGGAAAGAGCTCGGGTCTGCGACACTAGTGGGCAGGCCCTTCTTAGCCACCACCTCGTTGCGACCAGCCCTCCCCCTCTTTCTGCCTCAGTTTCCCAAATTTAAGACAGGAGGATGGGCCCAGATGGCCCCAGAGGTATTTTCGAAGTTCACCGTGTGTCAGCTGGTTTTGCTGGGTTAGGCAGCTCAGGTACTAGAAGGGTCCCTGACTGTTCTGTTTTCCAGAAAGATCTCCATGGACACAACTTACTGTCACTTAGTGTTTTATTTACTGTGGAAATTCCATTCAAAAGTACAGGATTATGATTAGAATTAAGAACGGTCCCCAGACACGAAGGTACCAGGCAGTGCCCATGCACTACCCAGCCACTGGCCCCAGCCAAGTGCTGTGGCTCTAAAGTTAAGTAAGAGGGGGACCTCCCTTTGGGCTGTGCACAGCCTAGTCAAGGAGAGGGATGAGTAAGCCAGTCTTTGCACTGCACTGTGATGAACACCACTACAGCCTGTTCATAAGGCACATGCAGAGAATGGCTGTATAAACCTGGGGTGGAGTCCTCCACCGTCTCCAGGAGGAAGTGGCACTTACTCACCTCCCTGAATGGAATGGGGACCAAATCTCTCAGATCACGGTGTCTGCTCAACCTGTCACCTGTCATCCCACACATCTCTTCATTTAAAGGCAAACATTTCACCGAGCCTCTAACCAGTAATCCCTTGGGTCTGGAATGTGATTGGAACAGTGGACACTGAATCGGAGTCCCTGGAGCAGGTTTTGAGTAGGTCGGAAAGCTGGATGATTTCTGACATTGCCCCCCACGTCCCCCCCCCCCCCCCCCAGGCAGAAGAACTAAGGGCTCCCACAGCATTGTATTTTATTCGCCAGCTTGGAATGTTGGAAACCTGAATTTGGTTCACACATCCATATCCCTTTACTTTCATTGTCTCCTTTTTCTTTTTCTTTTCTGGTGTATGGTGGGAAAAATGAGTTGGAGGGACCTCAAGGCAGTCGGAGTTTGAGAAACCTCTGCAGTCATGGCAGGCTTCTTGAAGAAAGTGGCAGGCAGGAAAGGTGAGGACTAGTTGGACTAGTTAGATTAGACACCTTGGCTGGAAGGGCCTCCTAGATCCCGGGCCGCGCCACCCTTCCCGCGTTCGACCTTTGTTCCTGCACTAACCTCCCACCAACCGAAGTGGTGTTATCACTTCCCCCTTTCCGCGCGGTGCGTGACTCGAGGCTCGCTCTCGGCGCCTGCTTCCCTGGCCGCGCGGGGCCGCGGGCGCATCCCGGGGCTGTGAAGTGTCCTCGGCGGCGCAGCCAGGCCCCGCCTCTGGCCCCGCAGTTCAAGTGCAGGAGCGGCGAGCCGGGGCGCACCTCGGCGCAACCTGCGGGCTCCGGGGGAGCCTCTCCCCGCCGCGCCGGCTGGCGGGAACGGACGGAGGCCGGCGCTGCCCGTTAGCAGCCGCGGCAGCAGGAGCCTCCTAATTACTCACCACGCTAATTGCCCAGCACTGAACTTCAGGAGCCGGTCCGAAGCGGAGCTCCAGGGCGCAGAGGAGGCAGGAGGTGTCTGGGGCCGGGCCCCGCCAGGGTTAAGTGCCCGCCCGTCCCCGGCTGGCGGCCAGCTCGCCTTCCGCGGGAGGCCGGAGTCACCGCTCCGGGACCGGGAGGTGCGCCCGGACCACACCGGACCCCCTCCCCCATCGCCGCCTCTAGGAGGCGCAGAAAGTGGGGGCGCCAGCCTGGCGCGGGGGGCGGGCGCGGAGAGCCAGAGGGGCTGC